TGAACCCCCCAGTACCAGTGGAGAGAGTGGCGATAGTGGGAGGATGGAGGGAAGGTGAGGGAGAAAGGGGGAACAGATGACAAGGTCTACATATGGCCTCTTCCCTAGGGGACGGACAGAGGAGAAGTGGGTGAGGAAGACGTTGGATGGGGTAAAATGTGATAAAATAATAATTTATAAATTATCAAGTGTTCAAGGTGGGGGAGCAGCGAGGGAGTGGGGAAAAGGAGGAGCTGACACCAAGGGCTCAAGTAGAAAACAGGTGTTGTGAGAATGATGAAGTCAACATATATACTAATGTGCTGGACACAAATTACATATGTACGGATTGTGATGAGTTGTATGAGTCCCTAATAAAATGATTATTTAAAAAAACAAAAAACAAAACAAGCAAACTGACTGTACAGTTAGCAACCAACGGCTTTAAAAACTGCACTATTAGCACTCCTTTTCTGAAAGGAAAAAGAACCAGAAATATTTGGAGAACTGTTAATGTAATAACTTTGTAATAGTTTTCCCCTAAAATTGAACCACTTTCACTTTCTTTAAATAAAACTATACATGATTATGAGATCACATTCTTTTGATATGCCGCTTGTTTGATTTATTAATAGAGGTATATATTGCTTTATGCCCAACTGGACAATGTCTTACCATATATGTGGTTTTCATTTCCATAAGTGTGGGGTAAGCATGCAAGGACTCACCTGGTCAGTCATGACTTCAGGAGCCAGGTCCATGTAGAGAGAGAGAATATATTTCCAACCAAGACTTATATACAGTTGTATGTGTGTGTATGTGCGCGTGCATGCAAGTGTGCAAGCCTCTCGAATTACAGGTAACTACATACTTAACAAAAGTGGGCTGTCCCCTGACCTTACAGGGTCCTGAGAACATTGGAGGAGTAACCTAGTACCTACCAGTGCCAGGGCAGTTAAGGGGAACTGACTGTCTTCAGAGTCTAGAGAGCACATCTGTTCTATAGGTAAAGCCATGTGCCTATAAGAGGTAACCTTTAGGTATCACTCTTACAGGATGATGTAGTGGAGGAGAACAATATTAATTATAAGAATATAATTGGGGACTCACCTCCAACTCACAAGAGTGAAGGCTTCCCTCCACCTCAGAAACACAGCCTGCTAGGCTTCTTAATATATGAGAATAAAGGATTCATCCATATACACTTTCTTCCCATTCTCTGCTTCCCATACATAAGGTTTTTTGTTTTTATAAAAGGGAAGTGGGGAACCGATTACAAGGAACTATATGTGACCTCCTCCCTGGGGGACGGACAACAAAAAAGTAGGTGAAGGGAGACGTCGGACAGGGCAAGATATGACAAAATAACAATTTA